ATAACACCGATCCTGAAAGACCTACACTGGCTCCCAGTACGTTCCTGAGCACAATTCGAAGGGTTGGTGCTGACCTTTAAAGCCCTAAACAGCCTCGGTCCTGTATATCTGAAGGAGTGTCTCCACCCCCATCATTCAGCCGGTACACTGAATGATGGTTCAGCACCGAGGGCCTTCTGGCGGTTCCCTCATTGTGGGAAGTGAGGTTACAGGGAACCAGGCAGAGGGCCTTCTTGGTAGTGGTGCCCGCCTTGTGGAATGCCCTCCCATCAGTTGTCAAGGAAATAAACTACTATCTGACTTTTAGAAGACATCTGAAGGCAGCCCTGTTTAGGAAAGTTTTTAATGTTTGATGTTTGATCACTTTATTATTATTATGAATATTATTCCATTGCTAGCTAACCTGACCTCTCAACAGCTGAGCCACTGCTGCATACCAGAATGAAGACGGGGGAGAGGCAAGATGGTGGGGACATTGGCATGGTGCAAACGCACCAGTGGACCCAGACAGGTGTGCCTGTTGGGGCATTTGGGCTACCCTGGCTGTCCTACTGTAGCCTTACAACCCCACCAGCATCTACTGCAGAATCTCATAACTCTACTGGCCATCACAAATAGAGTTCAGGCAGACAATTTGGCCTGAGAGGATGGGAGAGAGAGGTTGAATATCTTTTAGTTAGCAAAAATCCATTTCCAGAAAGCACATATCGCAAGAGATAAAAATGAGAGTGAGAAGGTTCTAGCTATACTACAAATCAATTAAAGTTTTATACCTGTGAAACGGCCATCCTTCCACTGTTGGGAGGATTCCCAACGGAATCACCGCAACTACAGATTGGTAAGAGCTGAGAATTCTCTGCCTCTTTCATCACAAAATAATACTTCCCAAGGTTCCATAAGACGAAGGAACAGTTACCCATCTCCAACTGTCCTGCATACCAGGAACAGCCCCATACTGCCCTCAAATAATAATAATAATAATAATAATAATAATAATAATAATAATAGGTTGGTTTTTTTCCAGGGTGAAGAATTTTATTCTCCATTTTTTGGTTTCTGCTCTGGATTTCTAGAAGTAACCCCCCCAACCCCCCCCCTCAGGTATTTCTAAGCTCTTTTCAGGACTATAACTTTCTCAAGCCACCTCATTTTAATCACCAATATACAATTCCATTACAAACAAACACTAAACATACAGTTCCAACCAGAGTAAAACAGAAAGTTCATAAAATTCAGTAAACGGTATGCACATTTACTCGGAAGTAACCTACACTGTGTTCAATGGTGCTTACTCCAAGAAAAGTCTGCATAGGACTGTAGCTTTAGCATGGATGTAGCCTTTTCCCTCACTTACAAAGAAACAAGTGGGTCAGATATTAAAGGTAAAGGGACCCCTGACCATTAGGTCCAGTCGTGACCGACTCTGGGGTTGTGGCGCTCATCTCGCTTTATTGGCCGAGGGAGCCGGCGTTTGTCCGCAGACAGCTTACGGGTCATGTGGCCAGCATGACTAAGCCGCTTCTGGCGAACCAGAACAGCGCACGGAAACGCCGTTTACCTTCCCGCCGGAGCGGTACCTATTTATCTACTTGCACTTTGACAGATATTACTGGGGTGCAAAACAAGTACACAGGGAGGTCCAGATTAAGAGTAGCACCAGATCCTGCAGTACCATCTACATCATCAACATCATCATCATTTCTTATTATTTATTAAATTTGTATTCTGCCCTCCATCCAACGATCACAGGGTGGTTCATAGCATAAAATTACAAAACGAGAACGCAAAATATGTCCCTTCTCCCAACAAATGTCTGCCCAGAAATCCTTCGTGTGTTTGTGTGTGCGCGTGCACACACACACAATGTCTTGAGGTCATTTCACGACAACAGAGCATGAAAACTGCTGTAGACAACCTCCCGCACTGACTCTTAGGAGTTATGCATCCTTATGAATGACCAAGTCAGAGCAGAAAGGCACAATACAATTTGGGTACAATTCAACTTGAGTTTATTCTTTATTTGATTGTTGTTAGCCGCCCTGAGCCCGGCTTCGGCTGGGGAGGGCGGGATATAAATAAAATTTATTATTATTATTATTACTCAGAGTACATCCAATGAAATTAATGAAGATTCCCAACTTCGTTTCATTCATTACAATGGCTGTACTCTGAATTAAACTTACATGGCAGGTCACCTCTTGTTCAAGATTGAGTTGAGACTTGTGACCTCGCCAGAAGCCTGGGAATCACTGCCCGTGATATCTTTATTGGCTCAAGTTTGTATGCGATGATTTGCGCTTTTTTTTAAAAAAAAACTTTTTATCTTGGAAATAGTAAAAACAGAAAAATCCTATCATGCGAACCAGCCCCAAGGGTCAAACTATATGTTACCTCCCACATCCACCCAGGAGACACGTGCGTGGCGCCACCCCACCTATCAGTCACCTGATGTCATGTCGGCACCAGCTGACTGACACCTGCCAAAGTTCACATTAGGTCACAATAACTGTTGAAGTTTAGGCAATTTTCTTTGAAGGCACGCTTTGAAGGCACTGGAAATGTGCCTTCAAAGGGCTTCCCTGTAACAAGCAATCAGCTGATTGATTTTTCTGTGCAGGTGGAAATGCTCGTAAAAGTAGAGCATTTCCCTCTCTGCAGAGAAAGCAGCTTGTACCTAAAGTGCGAGAGGAAGCCCTTTGAGTACAAGCCATTGACCTCAGCTGATCCTCAGTCCTTGCAATGAGCCCTGTGCTGTGCTTTGAAGACCCAACAATCACCCGCCCCACCACGTAGGTCAGGCGTGCATAATGTCAGGTGTCAGGCAGGTGGGTTTAACTGAGCATATGGGCTGGAAGTCCCCCCCTTCCCCCAAGCAGGAGAGCCATGACTGGATGCCCCCCCCCCCAATAAAGAGTTGATCAAAGCAACAGCTCTGGGATAGAGGGTGTTTATCGCTTCATCACTGTACCGTTTCCCTGGGAGAGCAGTAGAGACTTAGGTCTCCAGCTGGACTACAGTTCCCATCATCCCTGACCACTGGTCCTGCTAGCTAAGGATGATGGGATTTGTAGTCCAAAAACAGCTGGAGACCAAAGTTTGGGAAACACTGCTGTTGAGCCAGCCCACAAAAGCTGCTATTAGTCACACAAGGAAAGAAATATATTGGGTTGTAGTCAACTAAGTTTTATTCAGAGTAGAACCACTAAAAGGAATCAGCACTGACCAAGTTAGGGCTATTAATTTCAGTGGCTCTACCCTAAGTACAACTTAATTGAATACCACCCATTATATCCCCCATTGTGGGACTAATATCAATCCGGAGGGGGTTAAGATTGAGAAAATCTGACAGCCAGTGTGGCCATAGTGGTTAGCGTTCTGGGAGAGGACTTGGGAGACAGGAGTTCTAAACCCCTGCTCAGCCAGGAAACTCACTGAGTAATTTTGGGCCAGTCACAGTCTCTCAGCCTGACCTACCTCACAGAGCTGTTGTGAGGATAAAACAGGGAGGAAGTTAGGATCACATTTGCCACCTTGAGCTCCTTTGCAGAAACATGGGGTGTAAATGTAAATGAATGAATAAATAAGACATTGAGGCAAGCATAAAAGACACCAGTCAAGTTCTGAGCGACTTGCATCTACTTTGAAGTAAAAACAAAAAATGCCTGGGGGGAACCAGTTATAGCTGTAACACAGAGCTGAGGAACATGTCATAGTTCGAGATGTCATAGGACTACAGCTCCTATCAGGCTCAGCCAGCATAGCCAGTGAGCAAGGCTGATGGGAGTTGTAGTCCAACAACATCTCGAGGGCCGGAAGTTCTCCAGCTCTGCCTCACATGTGGTTTGGGGTTGTTGTCTGAAATCTTTATCCTGGCCTTTGGCACCTAAGATGTGTTTTCAGGAAGAAGAAGAGTTTGGACTCCTAAGGAGTCTCAAAGCGGCTAACATTCTCCTTTCCCTTCCTTCCCCACAGCAAACACTCTGTTAGGTGAGTGGGGCTGAGAGACTTCAGAGAAGTGTGACCAGCCCATGGTCACCCAGCAGCTGCATGTGGAGGAGCGGGGAAGCGAACCCGGTTCACCAGATTACGAGTCCACCACTCTTAACCACTACACCACACTGGCTCTCTCTGGGTCTCTCAGGTTTTCAGGGTCCACCCTATTCTTGCGAACATAATGTGTTTTAACTTCTGTAGTTTTAAAATTGTTGTGGCCTGCCCTAGGACCTATTGGTGAAAGGTGCGTCATAGTAATAACAAGAATAATAAAAAATATTTACTCTCTTCCGCTACACAATTCTAGGATCTAGGCTGAAGGCTGTTCATTGATAGGGAACATATTCAATCCAATTGAAGAAGCAAGTGGGCTGATACAGTTTACTATTTCTCTACAAAATAGAAGTGTTTAGAATGTCGTTCACTTGCTCAACCAAACAAACATCACGTTTCATATTTGCTAAACAGAGGAAACGTGCAACGCAGAATGAAAAAAAGTTGTCATGAAAAGAGTATGCTTGATATGCATCAAATTCACCAGAGCAGCCCTTTGTGTAAAATCTATTGACAGCATGTTTTATCCATGAGAGATTCAGAATAAGATACAATGCATGATTTCCTCTGTTTTGTAGCTTTCAATCTTAAGTGACGAAAATAAGAGATTCCTTGCTATTCTTGACATTTCCCCTTGCAGTTACAAAAACCACCTTCCCCCTCTTCTTCCCGTTTTCATTATTTGCCATTTCTTACCTAATAAAGGTGTCATTAGCTAATTCAGATACAGGGGGCATGAATTCCCATTTGGAAGTCTGGTGAAGTATCATAGGGACATAGGGAGCCGTCTTATACCAAGTCAGAACATTGGTCCATGTTGCTAAGTACCCTCTACACTGACTGACAGAGGCTCTCTAGGGTGCCAGGCAAGGACCTCGTAGGCATACCTGGAGATGCTGAGATGCTCTACCACTGAGCTGCCAGCCCTTGCGCGATCTTGAAATCAGTGTTACCTTCATTAGTCTGTCCTTCGGTTTCTTCCCCATCGCCTCCGTCTTCCTCGATTGATCCAGGTAACCCAAAAAAGCTCGGGCTGGTCACTTGCCAAAAGGAAGGCATGCAACAGAATGGCCCCCTCACCTCGACTTGAGCTTGTCACATAGAGAACTGTGTAAAGATAGCCATTCTTAGGACGTTTATAACCCCTCAGAGGGAGGAGGAGGAGGAGGAGGGAAACTTGGAAAGAGGCGATGTGGGGAGGGCTGTGGGGAAAGCTTATTTGTGGCCAGGGAGGATAGAATTAATCAACTTGAATGTTAATGAAAAACCCAAGCACTCCTTAGTGTTTACCTTCTTTTCCCCGGCTGTTAAAATAGGAAAAGTGCAAAGGGCACAGGGACTGCACATCGATAAGCCCACCTAAGTGGGCTGGAATGCTCACTTGTGAGTGTGTCGCACTCTAGACATTCATTCAGAGACAAGGAATTAGAGAGACAAGACGGGTTCTTTATTTCAAAGCACGCAGATTCTGTTTTTCTGTTCACAAGGAACAGCCAAAGTGGCTCATGACTGCCACAATTAACCAAGGTAAAGGTAAAGGGACACCTGACCATTAGGTCCAGTCGTGACCGACTCTGGGGTTGTGGCACTCATCTCGCTTTATTGGCTGAGGGAGCCGGCGTACAGCTTCCGGGTCATGTGGCCAGCATGACTAAGCCGCTTCTGGCGAACCAGAGCAGTGCACGGAAACGCCGTTTACCTTCCCGCTGGAGCAGTACCTATTTATCTACTTGCACTTTGATGTGCTTTTGAACTGCTAGGTTGGCAGGAGCAGGGACCGAGCAACGGGAGCTCGCCCCGTCGCGAGGATACGAACCACCAACCTTCTGATCGGCAAGCCCTAGGCTCAGTGATTTAACCCACAGCGCCACCCGTGTCCCACAATTAACCAAAGGACACGTTAAATGCGGGGGTGCCAATCTGAATAAAATATGGGGTGGGGCAGGTAAGCCCCACCTGCAAAATCGCGCATATGATGCGGTGCATGCACATCATTTGAATGGCAATGCCAATCAACTGGCCCCCTCAAATATTTTATAGGGGGTGGGGGAATGAAAACCCCTCGGTCCCTAGGAGTGGGCTCCTATGGTTAAATGACAAGTCAACATAAGCTGGCAGGAACATAAGGGGTCTCCACAACAGAAAAGGTTCTGCAGGGAGGAGGACATGCCAGGGAAGATGGTTCTATATTAATAAAGTGATAATTTGTTATCCAGCCAGACTTTTGCAGTATGCAGGCATTCAGCTTATACAGAACTCCTAACCGGACTGAATGGAATACAACTGCATGTGTACCTAAGAACTGGCTCCCACAGCATTTTGCCTAACAAGTCAAAAAAGCGGGTATAATCTTACACGAAGAGACATCGATCCAATCAAAATAGCACTTTAATAACTCTGTATTCCAAAAACTGCTGGAGTGCAGAGTTAGTAAGGTATTATGGCCAGGGTAATTAAGAATATGTCTCTCAAAATGCATCCTGTATAGAATCATGGTTTTGTAGAGCTAGAAGGGACCTGAGGATCATCTAGTCCAGCCCCTGTAAGGGGATCGAACCTGCGAACTTGGCGTTATCAGCACCACACTCTAACCAACTGAGCTAGCTAGAAATGCTACGAACCTCGGCTTGGGAAAACTGCTGCTATCTTACCTGAGGGTAGGTCCCACTGAATTCAGCAGAGCTTACATCTGAGTAGACATGCAGAGGCTTGCACTACCAGCGTCAAAAAATGTACCTGCTCCATGAGCCAAACCCATTTATTACGAAGTCCAGTCTCTGGCTAAGTTCATAGTGCACTCTAATAAATTTAATAGAAGATCAAATATTTATGGTTAACACCACCCAATGAAGATAATCTCTGTTTGATAACACTCTTCCCAAGTCTGGGAGCAATCCTACTCCACAAGAAGCAGGCCTAAAGCAAGGCAGTGTAAATTAACATGTATAAACGTTACACCAGACCCAAACCCCATTCCTCAGTAGGGTGACTGCCATCTGCTCTGCCTAAGCCTGGCAGAGGGAAAACAAGCCTTTAAAACAGGGTTCTTTGGTCTTTGTGCCAGGTTTCCAGGTCACACGAATGAACTGAACGGGCTTAGGATTTAACCTGAGTCCCCCTTCTGTGGTCCTTCCCTTGCTGCCACCCCAGAGCATCTCCTCTGGGGGACTCAAACTAGGCTTGGATCAGCCAGCTTTGGCTTGGCTATGGCTGAGCTCCAGCTGAGCTGGGAAGAGCATTCTACAAATGCTAAACCAGGTGAGGGTAGCCATTGGTTCTGAACCCTTGGTGAGTTAGGGACTTCTCCTGCATGTGAAGAATCCAGTAGATTGAGTGGATGAGACCACCAGTAGGTCCAACGGTCAAGAAGGCATGTGCTGTAGAGAGAAGTGAGAGGCAGATGGGGCTTGTCCACCTGGGAAGTCCACCTAGGAGATGGAAAGCTCTGACTCTAAAGCTCAACTGCCATGTGGGGCATCTTCGAGAGAAGAAAAAGCTAAGGAGTAAAACCTACACAAATCCAGAGTAGAGTCCCTAAGATGGTTGGATGGAGCCTCCTTGTAGGCCTCCTTCCAGCGACACCTGCAGCCAAGCTGGTGCCAAACGTATTGTTCTGCTTTCCGTGGCTCAGTCACCTCAATCCTGGCTGGGATGGAGGAAATATGCTGGTGTATCTTCAGCCAAACCAAGGATGGGGAGTTACAGTGATGACGTGGGTGGCGCTGTGAGTTAAACCACAGAGCCTAGGATTTGCCAATCAGAAGGTCGGCGGTTCGAATCCCTGCGACTGGGTGAGCTCCCGTTGCTCGGTCCCTGCTCCTGCCAACCTAGCAGTTCAAAAGCATGTCAAAGTGCAATTAGATAAATAGGTACCGCTCCGGTGGGAGGTAAACAGCGTTTCAGTGCACTGCTCTGGTTCGCCAGAAGCGGCTTAGTCATGCTGGCCACATGACCCGGAAGCTGTACGCCGGTTCCCTCGGCCAATAAAGCAAGATGAGCGCCGCAACCCCAGAGTCGGTCACGACTGGACCTAATGGTCAGGGGTCCCTTTACCTTTACCTTAACCTGGTTGGACTGTGAGCCTTCCAGCTCAGCCATAGATCTGTTGGATCCTAGCCCCACTCATCTTGCCGAATCTCGGTTTAGGATTGCATCCTTAGTCATTTTCATTAATTCCAGTGGGTCTTCTCTGAGTAAAAGTTATCAGAAGACCATACATGATTTGCAGAAACAGTTATCATATTTTACAAATGAATTCAAGTTGCCTAGAACTACGATGTCTAACTGCAGTGGCCGTATTAATACATATTAAATCTATATAACTGTATCACTGTGAACAGCATTCAGAATTCTTCTTAGTGCTTTCCCAGTGCATCTTCTTTTTAGAGGAATCACAGGAAGGCACTGTTTTCCTATCAGCTCATCCACTCTTGTTTTCTTGTCTGGGGACACGATTAATCTTTGCAGTACACAATTAGCTACAGGCAATGAGCTTGACTTGGCTCTTCTAGGTCATTAGCACTGATCTGGTCTGGTCTGGCTGGCAGCAGTTTCATTGGTCTCCACCGGCACGATCAAGAATTTTCCACTTTTTGTTTCAGTGACTGGTCATCATGATGAAACACGGCAAGCTTCAGAGAACACTCCATCTTCCAACCACCTTTCTTAATGGGATATTGAATCTGTGTTGGCTCTGTCCTTCAAGGAAGTCTCACATGAGTCAAAGATGATGGAAAAGATACATGATGGATGCCCATACAATAAACATTCTCTCTTTTTTTGAATGGGACATCCACACTATCCAACCAATGCTGCCTGTCAGGCACTTTCCACATGGCAAAGAATGTGCTTGGCTAAAGACTAATCTTTGCTCTGGTTGCAAGTAAAACTTTAACCTGCAGAGAAAAGTTCACTCCTCCAGTTATGCCAACTGATTTTCCTGGTGCAAAGGAGTTTTTGTCAAAGGGATTAGGATGTTCCATTGCAAAGCATGCATGATAATCCTGGAGGGCTCTCTCAAGGACTCTTGACACTGGGTTTTTTTTTGGCTGTATATTCTGCAACACGTCACCAGTGCCATAATAGCGCATTAGTGGTGGATTTATACTGAGCTGTCCACACGTTGTTCCTATTCACCCATTGTTCTCTGATGGCTCCCCAATGTTATTGCATTAATGCCGCCTGGAGGGGCACTCTTGCAACAAAAGCCAGACCAATAAAATAAAATAAACCGGAACATTTGTGATACAAAGAGTTATAGGATTTCAAGCAGTAAGATGCATGGACTGGAAACAAAACAATATGTCCACCCTGAAACTTTTGCAGGCACAAATTGTATTGAAAGTGGAATCGTGTTTAAGAACCACCATCATGGGCACAAATAATCAAGAAGAGGAATGTCTGGAGGTGCCCCCAGAACTACGTCCTACCAAGTTAAGCGGCACTTACTCCCAAGTAAGTTTACTTAAAACAGCAGCCTCAGGGCCAAACTGGATATTTTTTGGGAAATCATAAATAAAATAAGGTACCCATGAACGTAAACAAGTCAAACACAGCATGCATCAGAGGCTTGTGCAACAATAGATGCTGTTTTTGTTATTTTACCCACAAGAACATATAAGAAGAGGCTGTTAGATCTGGCCCAACATCCTGTTCTCATGCGGCAACCAGATGCCCATAGGAAGCACACAAACAGGACCCGAGTGCTAGAGCACCTTTCCTAAGGTCCAAGAAAAATATTACTATTATTATATATCAATTTATACACCAGTATATTATAAATTCTTCTACAAGGGCCAAACTATCCAAGAGAGCCCTGAAAGTGAATAGTGAGGATGTCTGTTGAACCTCTACTGCAAGAGTATGAGCATACATAGGATCAGTGACACCAAATTCCCAACTTCTGGTTGAGGTCAGTTGGGCCTCTGTAAAATGGGGGACAACTTGCAGCACTCTTCCAGATAATCTCAGTGATTGGGCTGGAATATAATGGATCCAGCAGTCCTTAAGGCATCCTTGCCCCACATTGTGGAGTTAGGAGTGTCTACTGCCATGCATGTGTGTGGGCAGGAGATCTTTGGTGGGGACCCAACTTGAAGCTGAGCCAACCACAATAACATCTACTTAGCCTTATAGATTTAATTTTGAATGACAAATGACAGGAGGCCCAACCTGGTGCCTTCCCAGTGTTTT